GAAAAAGGCTTCAGGACCGCGGCCTCCTCAGCCTCCTCCGTGCAGCTACCGGTCCTACGCGGTCCTGGCCCTTGCAAGGCCCCAAAACCTCAAAATGTCCACCCTCCCGACGACCACGACGTTGAAATGACGTTGACGTTGAAATGTCTCAGGGGGGGAAAACGCAACCCTGACGGGCTGCGAACTAAAAGCCTACTCATCCTCCAGCTCTGCCCCGGGACTAGGCCTGTGACGCAACAGAAGGGGACCGAACCCCAGCCGGCCTGTCTGAGGGTCCCAGGTCAACAGCTGTGGATACGGGCTCCATCTTTCCCAAAAACCTTGCTCCTTCTGTGGCCCTTTACAGCGAGAGCGACAGAGGTCCGCCAGCAGAGACATTCTAATATTCTCTCAAGTTCTCTTTCTTGATAAGCCTGCACGGGCGGGGAAGCTGATTCGCGCTTGCTGGTTTCACATGATCTTTTTCTTCCTTTTTTTTGTGTGTCACGTGATCGTTGAGAATTCTGCGGCATAGTTTTCTGCAAACAGCCGATTTCTCACCAGTTTGTTGAACCAATGCCCGAGTTCTCGTTAAGTTTTTTTTTCCCTTGAAAGCACTAGTTCAGCATCTTTAATTGTTCTTGCCTTTTGCATTTCCCCTTCCTGACCAAGTTGCACCCTGAGTTTCTCACAAGTGTTCCACCCTCCAGCGCGATCAAGCAACTCCCTTGGTCTCACTAGATCGTGCAGAGAACCAAGGTCTAATTAACCAGTATGGAGCTTGGTGCAGCAAATTGAACCTTGGTTCCATGGTTCTTTGAGGAACCATGCATGCACCATTATGGATGTATGGAAGCATGTACGAGCATGGAAGATGGCTCTCATGGTAATACCTACAACCTCTTGACGAGTACACAACATCGACTGGCTGCCAGGACATGTGTCTCAAACCCAAAGTGTTGTCGTGCCATCAGGTTCTTGAAGAAGATGTAAGCAACCCACACGTGAGCCTGCAGCAGGGTTGTCAAGGAGGGTTTCCCACAAGACAACCGCGGTGGTAGGGTGGAACGCTGCACCACCGTACGCAGGTGGAGGACCCCCGCGCGGGGGGTCGGGGAAGGGGTGGGCTGCGGGGGTCAAAATTTTGGTTTCGGGGAAATTAGCTCTGAGGTTTCCCGTTAGATGCACAGTTTCATGTTCTTGGTATAGCCCTATCTGCCCAGGGCAAACCAACAGCCAGTGATGTGTGGATCTCCGAGCCAGCCTTGGACAAGATGAACCAATTGAACTCCCAGCCCACCTCGCTGTTTGGAAGAGCGCTAGTAATCAACAATGTAGTTTTATCATAACTCTGGGGCACTAAGTAAAGAGGCCACTCAAGCCATCAAATGTCAGCTAGCGGCAGCGTTGTCACCCGGGGATCCCTGGGGGCCAAGCCAGGGTGGGGGTTTGACCCCCAGACCCCCGGACGGAGATCCCTGCCCCTGCCCCCGCCCCCGCCCACCCCCCCCCGCCCCTGCCCCCACCCGGCCACCCCCACCCCCGCATCCCTGCCCCCGCCACCAGCGGCCCCCCTGCCCTGCCCCCGCACCCCACACAGATAGCAGCATGCAAACAGAGGCAGGCAAGGATGGCAATGATCTTTAAATCATGCATAGGTCGATAATAGATTATGCACGAGCCCAATCCACACAGGGGGGGGGCGGAAGAAAGAGAGAGAAGGAAGGAGAGGTTAAGAATGAAAATCCCAATTCAGTCCAGCGGCTCAGGCATGCCGATGTATGGAAGGAAGGTAGTGGATCAAGCCCTTCAGTCACTTTCACCAGCCTCCACAACAGCCGGATCTTCAGAGAATGAAACAACCCCCATTACGTACCGAAAGGGACAGGGATATGCACGGGCCAATCCATACCCCAAGAGATAAAAGGAATTAGAGATGAAAAAAGGAGAGAGAAAGATTTTTTATTTTTTATTTTTAATGGGCATCGACCCTTTCATATAGGGGGGGAGGCATATGGCTAGGTAATAGAGAGCTATGCAGGGCACCGGTAGGGGGGTGGGGGTGGGGAGTGGGAACAAAAGAGGAGCGATGATATTACCCCCACGGCCGCCATAATCCTTCAAGCACCAGGTAGCCCAACGAATAAGGCCAGCTACGGCGAGAGATAAACAGCCTAAGCCCTTCAATAAGCAGTCAGAACCCTCACGAGCAACGCATAGAGCGATGGCGCCAACCTCATGGAAGCCAGAGGCCCTTTCGGCAAATGCATGTGCTACGCTGATCAGAGTGCACGACGCGCAAGGCACATAGCTATGGCCTCAGAGCAAAATGGAAGCAGGAAGCAGTTTCTCCACGGCGATACTTGCAAAGCCCGAGGCCCCTAGCGCCGCAGCCGCCAATCCGAGCGACATCACGGCATGATGTTACTCCGATCAGTCGGCCACGACAGTAGGACGCCAAGGGTGAGAGCACATATCCGAGCATCGGCCAGGTTTAAGAGCATGGGCTATTCAGCAGCACCACTTACTTGCCACGGTACCGGGCCCAGCGGACCATCAAGGTGTCGGCTACCGAGTCCCACAGTTCACACGTCATGCCCAGTGGCTCTGCACCGTTTTTTCTGGGGTTTCTGAGGGGGACGGTCTTCACCTGTTGCTGGGGTGGTGACCCCAAGATAGCCCACAAGGGGAGCTGTGGAAACGAGCTTACTGTTCCATCTTGGTTAACCCATGGCCGAGGCCACGGGAGGGCTCCTGTTTGTAAAAGCAGTAGCAAAACCATTGCTTGGCCTCGAAATCATCCAGGTAGCCAGCCGAAGCAGCACGTATTCGAGATATGGCCACACTCCTTGCAAGTGTGTGTGTGTGTGTGTGTGTGTGTGTGTGTGTGTGTGTGCCGGGGCGGGGGCGGGGGCGGGGCCGGGTGTGTGTGTGTGTGTTGAGAGAACGAGCTAAACACAGCTCAGTCTTCTTATCAATTCTAATGCAACAGCGCTTTCTTGTGGTAGAAGAAAACCCGTCATCAAATGGAATGTTATGGAAAAGGCAACATAAGGGCTTTAAAACGGCTGCATCTGACCTTCATGGTGGCCATATTCTGCTCAGGGAGCCCCCTAGTGTATGTTCCCACTTACAGACTCGTCCTTCATAGTGTTAAGAATGCGAAATTGAACAAACTGAAGATTAACCAATTCAAATAACACATGGAGTAACCCCCCCTCCCCCTCCCCCCCTCTTCCCTCTTTGTAATAACCATTCACCATTCACATAATCCATGACCTGTTTTATTTGGCACTTTGGCTCCGTGTCCAAACAGGTTAGCTTCGATACGATGATTCCTCCGGGTTCCCAGTCATCGAACATGATAGTGGATCTGGTACGCATCATCTACCACCAAACTGCACATCTTTTCTTTTCTTTTCTTTTTTGAAGTTTTTTCGCCTTTTCTTCTTCTCTATCATAGAAAGGTTAGACGGAGAAATCAACAAAAAAATTGTGAAAATCTTACTCTTGTGTTTACATCTTTCCGGCGAAGGTGTGAATGTCTTCGCCCTCTGCTTTGTAAATGCTCCCACAACGGCGACAAGTTCTAAAAACCACACATGCATTGTTGCTAACTGGTCCTTTTGCCGAGCTCCATTTGGTATCGGTTTTGGTCAAATTTCTTATCAATTCAATTAAACCCCCAGCACCTTTCTCAGCTATAGACGCTGAGCCTAAAATCGCCCTGCACGCCCGGAAAAAAAAAAAAAAAAAAAAAAGGTACCAGCGCGGGACTTGTTTTGGCTGGCGCCGCCACGCCCCGCCAGCCATTTCCGTCCAATAGCACCCAACCCCGCCGGCCTCCCACGTTACCCGGCGCGTCTCGGCAAAATAGCTGGGAAAGGTACTGCTAGTTTAACTTCGATATCCAAGAATATGTTGCCCATCAAACCACATGGAGCCAGACAACAACAACAACAACAACAAAGAAAAGGAAACCCAGACACATGAAAAGCTGCATGCACACATGTACCAGTCGCCTGGGACTGACAAACACATATACATGTACCTTAACTTTTTTTTTCTTTTTTTTTTTTCCCCTTCCGAATTATGGTATGGATCAGTTTTGTAATCAGATTAATCAACATTAGCATTCAATAGTGTCTATTATTCTTTCACCGTCTGACCACATGCAGTGAAAGAAAACCCAAAGCAAAAGAGAGAGGAATTGAGACACAGCAACTTGAAAAGCTGGATGTCCATGAAAATCCTCTGGAGCAAATTGAGAGAACAAAACAAGAGGAGGTACATATCATACATACATGCGGCGCATCACGTGCACGGAAGTTGTGTACGTGCAGCGCATAGCGCATGCGCACGCGTGCGCCTGGACGTGACGCAGTGCACTTACAAAAAAAAAAAAAAGAAAAAAAAAGAAGGGTACGGCGTGGTAACCAAAAGCCTCTCCGTTTTGCAAATTGTAAGTTCACAGAAATAATATTTTGGGCCCACTTCAACCACAATGAAGGGGAGCAAAGTATCTGGGTTCATACTACTCGTTGGATCTATTTTCTCTTCCAGAAGGGCCCTTGCAGGGTCATCAGGGTTTCCATATTTTTGGAAAATCTATAAATAATACAATATTTATCCAATATTCATTTACAATATTTATTTATATAATTGATTGATATATATACATTATTTATCTTATACATTATGTATATAATGTATAAGTCTGATTTATTTATTGATACTATACCTCATTGAACTGCTGGCAGACCACGAGCAGGCCAGCAATACATCCTGGATTCGGATTCAGGGCTGTGTTCCAAGAGTTATGGGTTACGAAAGTACTACAAACACTACAGTAGCTGTCTCGTGTTTTTNGGGCTGTGTTCCAAGAGTTATGGGTTACGAAAGTACTACAAACACTACAGTAGCTGTCTCGTGTTTTTGTTCTTCTTTTTTCTTACGTGCAGTGGCCCTAAGGGCCTCGCTCCACTCATCACAAAAGAAAAACATGCGGTTTGTATGCTGCCAGTTTCTAGGAGAAGATTCATTCTAGTTTTGCACATTTGGTGAGGAGTGGAGTGAAGCTCTGAAGACCACATGCCGAGTTATCAAGTCAGTAAACCCATAACTGCTAAAACACGGACCTGAGTTCGAAGCTACACCATATATAGCTGACCTGCACCCTCCTTACTACAAGTCCAGTGACTAACCTACTTCTGCCAACGGGACACTTGGCATTTTTTGGCAGGGACCTTTTGAAGTACCGGCAGGGGTTGCCTGAATAATTTGAAAGAGCTCGTTGCTCTCTCTCTCTCTCTCTCTCTCTCTCTCTCTCTCTCTCTCTCTCTCTCTCTCTCTCTCTCTCTCTGTGCAGCGAGTATACACACATCACAGTTGCTTCTTACACATCTGCGATCAGCGCACCGCACTTCATCTATGCGCCGCTCGTAGTATGGTACATATCCAAGAAAATCCTTTGGGGGAAATTATACCCACCTCACATTCAGCGGCATCGCCTGCTCACACCACATACCTCACAACCTTTCAGCCTCCTCGAACAATGGCTGCTGACCCCCTTATCCCTAAGCTTGCAGCCGCTTACACGGAGGCCACATTTTCGAGAGGCGGGCACGTTTTCGAGAGGCCGACAGGTAGGTGCGTCCGCATTAGCCAGCGCTACAGGGTTGCAGTGCATGTTTGTGTTATGGATGCCAGTCGGGTGGTGGGGGGGGAAGGGGCAGGGTGCGGTGCGCGTAAGAACAAAACACCTTCTTGGCTGTTTGGATTGGTCCAGAAAGATTGACAAGGGTTTGTTATGTTCTGATGGTATTTTCCGTACTGTACTTAAAAGATAGATTGTATACGTTCATGATCACAGTGGGTAGGATTTGTATAGTAGTGGCCTGAGCACTGTCCTCCCCTGAACAGAAAGGCCCATCATTGTAACTCTATCAAACTGGGACAGAGCTTGTAGATCACAAAATTCATAATGGTGAAGGGGTGTTGTGTTTTCTGTGGGAAGATAGTATAGCAGAGTGCTGCTGTCTGTCTCAAATCTTTGGACATGTACGATATGATAGGCTAAGTTGAAAGTTCTATGCCTTGTTGTTTTGGTGTGTTTTGTGTGGGTGGGAAAGGTAGTACCTTTATGAGACCCCCTTTCACCCTTCATCACATCAATTTCTCCCCAGCGCACCCCTACTCCCCCAAAAGGCCATGTCTTCTCCTGTCCTTGGCATTTTTGAGTCTGGATTTTGCCCCTGGATTCTAACTTGGTTCTGTATTGCAACAGTGTACCAACTGAGCTAGGCCCATTGGCCTTATCCATTTCTTAAACTCTCTTTCATTTCTTTAGCTCGTTTTCATTCTCTTTTCTGAGACAGCCCCCAGATGTAACTGTAACCAAGTATATATATCGTATTGGGCACCAACCACAGAGGCTGCTGACAGAATGACGCGGTATCACTTGAATAGGCGAGAAGTAAAAGCACCGTGAGGTGTGAAGCTTACTCGTACTAATTACGATTCCGACTATCGGGGATAATGGGGATAAATACAAATATCGGATTATGGATTTAGTGAAATATTTAACATTTTCAATGATTCTTTTTCTTTTAGGTATTTGGGGAATCTTTTTAAATAGAAAGAATATCCTTATTATGTTAATGTCAATTGAAAGCGAAAAAGCCTAAAAAGGTGAAGCAAAAAAGGTGTTCGAATTCGTAGTGTAACCATAACCATGGTAGCCAGTGGAAAGAAAAAAAAAAAGAAAAAAAGTGGAAAAAGAAAAAGAAGGGCGCATTGTGTTTAGGAGAAAATGGCACCGAATGGGGATCCAGATTCCAGACAACCTCTGCTGAGATCGACAGTGCTGGAATATGCTGAAGCAAATAAGTCCCCCTCACCCCTGTCTAGCGTGGTTACTACGCACCACTGCATGAACTGTTGGAATACAGACCCGTGTTGGAATCCAAATGCAATCCAAATGATTATGAATTGCCATGGGTTGGTCAGCTCAAAGATGACATCTCAAGGCCAAGGCGCCTTCAAAAAAGTTTTTAAAGGAAAAAAAAAAGAAGAAAACAACAAGTCTCCTAAAAATCATCACCAGTGATGCAAATCATATCACCTCCTTCACGACATCCATTAAATTTGGGACGATACAGAGAAGATCAGCGTGCCCCTGTGCAATCAAGGATGATACGCATAAATCGAGAAACGGTCCAAATCGCACTCTCTTAAATAGCCTGATGAGATGGGACATGAGTGAGTGTGTTTGGGGGGGGAGGGGGGGGGGGAATTCAAGAAAAGCCCAATTGTACTGCGGCTCCCTGGCTCGAGGGGCTCCCTGTTTAGGAATGGTCTTCCAGGACTTTTTTTTCCTTCTTTTTGGTGGGGGTGGGGAGGAAGGTGGGGGTCATGCAGAATTGAGGATCCCAGTACACATGCAAAATTGCCAAAAAAAGGCAAGGAAAATCACTGCTGTCGGTAGGGCCAGTGTTGTCACCCGGGGATCCCCCGGGCCTGAGCTGAGGTTGGGGTTTGACCCGCAGAACACCGGTCTGGGGATCCCCTACCACCACCCCCTCGAAATCACCTCTGCCCCTGTCCCTGCCCCACCCCCACCACACCCGCCCCCCCTGCACCTGTCTCTTATACACATCTAGATGTGTATAAGAGACAGCACACACACACACACACACACACACACACACACACACACACATGCTCCTTCTCTTTCATCTGATTGTAGGTGATTGCTCACTAGCTTCTTTTCTTTTTTCTTTTTTTCTTTTTTAAACAAAAACGAAACCCCTTCTATTCTGGGGGGCATCAGTCCGGTTACTTATCACCGGCAAGCATAGTTCCACAGCAGAGAAGGGGAAACATTGCAGATTCAAGAGTTGCCTTACCCTTGCGGCCCTAGCCACCTGTCCAAGGGGGAGTCTGTCACGGACCGACCCTCTACCACATCCAGAGACCCTCTTCAGGGGCGACCCTGTTGATCGGGAAGATTACTAGCAGCACCCAGGCACGCAGCAGGGGAGTCCCAAGAAGGACAGGCCACGGGGGAGGGTGTTCGCCACAGTCTCACGAGCCCTATCCATCCTCTCATTCATTGTTTCATATCAAGCTGTTCATGAGCTTGCACTCGTACGTCTCAGCACCCTACTTCAAGTCACCATCTCCCAGGTTTCGTGAGTATCCGATTTCAGCCCAGTCTAAAGCCTGATTATATGTACCCACTCCCATCCAAGACTGTCTCTGCGTCCTAGCCACCCATGCTTTGTGTCTGCCACAGGTGGCTACCATGTCAATACTACTCTACTATTCCTATCCCTTTAGCTGCTACGGATATCATGGCAGGTGGCTGACCCACCAGCCATCCGTCTATCAATATAGTACTATAGTCTATTACTATTGCAGTACTGTTGCATTGCTGTTGTTACCCTACTATTACACTCTGAGTCTATTCCTATTGCTCTCGTTGTATTTTATGTGTTCTATTTTTTAACAGAGTTTTCAAAGTTGTCAACCCTCCCCAGACACCCTACCTATCTGCAAGTCCTCTACCCCTCCCCCCTACCTTCTACCCATCCCACCCCAGCACTATGGTACAACGTGCTCCTAAACGCCAATCCTACCTGAGCACCCTAACTATGGCACGTTACAGTTGCGACCCATGGAACATTGACTTACCGTGAGGGCACGGGTGCGCAGCCCGTAGTTCGTTTGTTTATGTGGTTCGGAAAGGGTAAGGTATTGATTATGCTGTATGTATGTTTTGTCATGTTCGCTATACACAACTCGAAGAGTGTGTGTGTGTGGGGTGCCGGTTGGTGCTTTATTCATGACGTTCATGTGACGCTGGACCTAGTTTCCAGCAGGTGGCGCCTGTCTCTTATACACATCTAGATGTGTATAAGAGACAGTTGTAGGCCCTTGTTTTCAGGCTTTCAGGCTGAA